TTCATCACTAGACATGCTTTGGCCGAGATAAGCCCGCCACTTTTAAAAAAACTGATTTTGAGAAATGCGGGAAAGATACCGTTGGCAACATTCGAATGAGTCTGAGAATAGCCATTCCACTCGGTGGTACGCCACGATCCGGCCAATCAGTCATATGGATGAGCTTTACGATAACCGAATTTGAGCAGCCTTCCGGGAGCACTTCCAGTATATACGTGTCGAATTTGTCCTCGCGATCCGTCTGTTAAATTTTTATTCAACATTTTTCATTGTACTACGATAGTGAGATAGTCATGATTTTTTTTTTGTTTTTGAGAGAGCAAGCAAATAGGCGAAATTTTTTTCTAGAAAAAAATGTTGTATCAGGTTTTCGAAAAAACACTGCCACATCAATGCTCATATTTTTTTAAAATAAACTTTTAACAGATAGGCATTTCTGATAGCTTGAGATTGAAAGCTGGAGCTTCTTCTACTTTTTAATCCCATAACATCCTCGTAAAATTTCAGCTTCCTGTCCTATCTGACTGGTGAAAAAGAAGAGTGCCAACAGTTCTGTAAATCGAATTTAGGCGTGTTCAAACGCGAGACTTACTTATACTTGAAAACAGGTAAGAGGGGTTTGGAGACGAATGAGGGAGGCAGGGGCCCCTTGTGGTCAAAGCAGAGGGAGGTGTGGTGTAAAACTCCAAGTTTCATGAATAAAACCTTCCTGCGTCTTCAAATTTAACTCATTTTCATCCATCCCTAGGTTTTTTTTACTATAAAAAGAGAGAGGAAGAACACAAAAACCTGCGGAGGCTCCAGATTTTTTTTGTATAGACTTTCTGCCTTATAATTGACTTACTTTTACTTCTCTTCAAATTTTTTTGAGAAAGCCGGACAAAAAATTTGCAAAAATTTCAAGTTTTTTACATAATCCTTCTCTACCTCAAATTTGCCTCCCGTTCGTCTCTCCAAGTTTTTGTATAATAAAAATTTGAATGAGGCTAGTTTTGGCAAACCCGCTTGTTCATAACAAACATGCAGCCGTATGTTTTATTTTCGCCAGCTTGCATTGGCCAATACTGGCTGCATTTTGGCTTGCCATCCTCCAGTGTTTTGCATAACATTACGACTGCTGTAACTTGTTCCTGATACACCATGCGCCAAAAATCGCTTATCGTCGATTCCAGCGGTCCCTGCAGTCACAAGAGTTTCCTCAGAATTTACTTATTTATATCCGGAGTGCCATGGATATGGATATTTCCACATATCCGAATTACCATGGATACT